AAGGTTGGCGGCGCCACCAGGGGTCGCACCTCCCGTTTAGCTCCATCTGCATCCTGCCAGGTGAGCCATTCTCGAGTCTCCTCTGATGGGATGTATCCTCCCACACCTAGGATTTGGGGCCCAGAAACTAGGTGCCATTGTGATGGGACCTCCTCCTTTCTAAGAATGGTTCTATCAGCCCCTGTGTCCACTAGGCAGCGAAACCTCCTGCCACCTATTTAAAGATCCATCTTGGGTACTAAGGGCTCCCTCAGCCTGGGTTTTGGTGAGTGCTGCTGCCCGCAGGGCTGTAGCACTCAGGGGCGGGGGGGTTCCCTAGCCCAATCATGGGGAAGTCCTCCTTTTATCAATGGGGCTGGAGGCTGCCCCCCACTTAGTTTAAAGGCTTTCCTTCAATATCAAATCTGAATTTACATTCCTTTTGCCAATGGAGTCCTTTGTGACACCGGAGACAGGGCATAGATGGGGGTCTTTTTGATACCCCACCTCCAGGCTTCGGCCAGGTGAATTAAATGCCTCGGTTAAGGCATGGGTCAGAGCCTCTGTTTGCATCTGTAAGACAGCAGCCATGGCTTTGGTTTGCCCACTCTGGGTTCCCACTTCCTTAGAGGCAATTTTCCATTGTTCCATGGACCTGTCCTTAAGGCCAGCACAGGCTATCTTGTGATCAGCATCCATTCCATCCCATACCAGGAATTTAGTGAATTTCTCCCTCAATGGGCCTGGGGGTAATTTTCGTTTTAAGCTCTTCTCCACTCTGTCTATAAACTCGTAGAGGGGTTCACCAGGCTTTTGATTAGTTCCTGCAAGGGGGGATTCGTTAGGCCTCTCATCCAATTTTCTCCAAGCATTTAATCCTATGACCCTGACCTGTTCTGTATATGGGGCTGGAATGCCCGACTGTTGCTCCCCTGTGGCATAACAGTCACTTGAACCAGTCAACATCCCAAAAGTAATGGCGGCTGGTGGATTGGCACTTGCATTCCTCTCAGCATGTATCCTGCATTCCTCCTTAAAGAGGGCACAGCATTTTATATATATATGTATGTATATGGCTAGGAAGGACTGCTTTGGCAAGGTCCAGCCAATCATTTGTAGTACACTGCTGATGAGCCAAGCCTTGGAGGAGAGTATCTACCCAGGGTGATCCTGGGCCATCCTCAGCCACTGCCTTTTTTAATTCCTTTAAATCCTTTGCCTCCCAGGGATACCAGGGGTCAGGGTGAGTGCCTCCTGGGTTTACATTAATAGGATATGCTTCTACCCATGGCCTCACAGAAGCCTCCTGAGCGGGGCCAGAATCTGGAAATGAGGATGGTTTTCATGGTTTCAGGAAGCCCTGAAGCTGGCTAGGGCACACCCAAGGTGCTGCTTGGTACTTTGGCTGCTTTTGGTTCCATTTCTTTTGCATTTCTGCATTCTTCCTCAAACCCTTCCCATGATTCCCATGCCGGGGTTTCTGAAGGCTTGTCAGGAGGTGGCGCTGAGGGCTTAGGGCTCTCAGGCCGAAAGCATGCCTTTAAGGCCAAAATAACAGGGTAGAACTCCAGCAGTGGATCAACTCCCAATTGAACCTCCTTTTGTCGAGCTAGACGAGCCATACGTTCCACATGTTCCCATGAATCCCCAGTAAAAACATTAGCCCCAAGTAGCCAGGGAGCCAGATGAATCGCCTCTGCCCAAACCTTTTGAGCTATGGGATCTGACAAATCCAATCCCCTGCTTTTAAGCATATGTCTCAGCACTGCGTTACCCATTTTTAGGGTCTTGCTTACCCTGAACCTTCTCGATTGGCCCCAATCCGTTTTTGCTTCTTTCTTCTTTCTTTTCTTCTTTTCACCTTCCTTCGAGCGCCACGTTGAGCGCCAGATGCCGGGAGTTCAAACCCGCGACCCCCGGCGAGGTGAGGATTGGGGATGAGTAAGCACGCTGTTCGCCAGCCCATGCCGCCCCCATTACTTGGGGACACTCAGACACAACAGGGAGTTAGTCAGGCAGAGACTCATTTATTGCAAGTGTTCCAAAGCTTATAAATGCACCTGGAACTCCCCCCTCCCCCTCTGAGGGTGTATCTTAAGGATGGTCACACGCTGATCATGCACTCCTCAGCGGTGCGGAAGTATTCTTCAGACTTTCAAAGCAAGCCAGGCAGTGCCCCCAGTAACTTCCTTTCGGACCTATGCAAGGTGGGGCCTTTAGGTCCCCACAGACAGAGATCCCCATAAAATCAACTTTCCACCAGAGACACCCCAGGAAAGCACATCCGAAGCTGCCCTGGAGCCACCTACTGCCTCGCCTAGTATCCCTCCTTCCCCCTCCAAGGGGATGAGTATAGAAGACTGGCTTCTCTCCAGCCCCTCCTGTGGGAGTCTCAGGGGCACTGTTTGTGTTCAGGTCCTAATCTTCCAAGCTGAGAGTCTCTTGTTGTTAGTGGTAAGAAACACTCAAGGACTGATGCTCCTACTCCAAGCTTACAGGGGCCCACCGCAGGCAGGCTCCATCTCTGAGGCTGCAGCCCTAGGGCCAGCTGAGAAGCCATGTTGCTCGGGAGGCCTCAAAGTGGTGGGTGCAGCTGCTGCTACAGGAGTGGAGAACCACTCTACCAAGATTTTTTTCCAGAATGCCCCGGCCTGTCTTTCTTTATCCAGTATTCCCCTTTAAGTTACCCTCCAATCCAGGTTGCTTTTACTTTCCTTGGTATTAGAAGAGGGTTGCTATGTTTGGCTGCTGGAGACAGGCAGGAGCAGTACTTGATCTTTTTCAAAACTCTTGGGACAGACATGGTTCATTGTGGGAGGCCTTTGTATTTCAGGTAGTGAGAGCTGCGGAGGAGGCTGCATCCACACTAGCCAGCTCCATCCACCCTGAGCAATGCATCAAAGTGCTGTGCCCAATCATCCAGACAGCCGACTACCCCATCAACCTGGCTGCCATCAAGATGCAAACCAAAGTAGTGGAGAGGATCGCCAAGGAGTCCTTGCTGCAGCTCCTCGCTGACATCATCCCAGGCCTGCTTCAGGTGCTCAGGGTCTACCTGTCTGTCACTGTCTCATGAGGACCGCTCCACCTAAAGGGAGGGGGGTGGAAACTACAGGAGGCAGCTAGCTCTCCTTAAGACTTGTGTCCCTTTTTATTCCATTTAAAACTTTTATTGGGGCTGAGGTGATGACTTAGTGGTTAAGAGCTCTGGCTGCTCTTGACAGAAAACCTGGGTTTGGGTCCCAGCACCCACATGGCTGCTAACAACCATCCTTAACTCCAATTCCAGTGGATCCTTTGCTCTCTTCTGGCCTCCACAGACATTGCATGACATGGGTATACATAAATACATTCAAGCAAACACTTATACACGTGAAATTAAAACATACAAATAAATATTTTTAATATTTATATAAAATTTTTTAGCATGTGTTATACAGAATGTTTCATTAGGCATTTTCATACATGTATAGTGGTTTGGGTTGGGGGGGTGTCTTTCATTGTTTGTTTTCAATTTGGGGGACAAAAATGTAGCCCTGGCTGGCCTTGAACTCTATGTAGAGCAGGCAGGCCTTAAACTCACAGAGATCCACCAACCTCTGCCTACCAAGTGCTGGGATTAAAGGTCTGCACCACTGTACCTGGCCATACAGAGTACACTTGTCATAGTCATCCCCCATTACCCTCTCCTGTTCCTCCTGTGGATTCCCTCCCATTCCCACTTAGTCCCTCTTCTAGTTTCATGTCTTTACTTTTTCCTGGTTTGTTTTAAAAAGCTCCAGCTTTATACTATAGAATTTTTTCTAGCAGGTGCCTCTTGTGTTAAAACAATAAAATTTAGCAGAACTCTGAGCTGTAGCCATAGTCTCCCTATAGTCCTTTTGTTAATGATGTAGAGGATCTTATAAGCATAAAACTACTAGACTGCTCTGAAGGTATTTTTGACAGCCCAGTGAGTTTCATTAGTGTTACTTACAGGCGCATAGGTGAGGGGTCATTTACAGGAGCATGGATACCTTATCAGTGGCTATACCACTGAAGAAAACGTCTCTCCCTCCCTCAGCAACCATTAACTGCATATAGATACTTGAAGAGGGGTAGGACCTCATGAACTTCCTCCTCCCCTAGCCTATAGACCCGTGGGCAGCAACTCCTGGACTTTTCTCTCACCCCCATGGTAGGATTTTGACAGGCCCAGTCTTGCACAAGGGCCTGTGTCTTCTCAGCCCAGCTGTGACTGCACGTAGCAGATGATGACTGACAGCGCAAACCACAGTCCTTTGGCCCTCTCTCAATGAGCTTTCTGTTTAGTATAAACATACGTTGTTCTTTGCTTCAACAAACCCCTATGACATACCTCCTGTGGTACAGCCCTGGGCTAAAGGGGCCCATGGAGTATGAATTAGGCAAGATCTTTGTTCTCCTGTGTCCAGTAAGTGCTTGCTGAGGCTGCTTCTATACAGGTGGCAGTGAGCTGGGCAGACTGGCAGGCAGGAGACAGGTGCCACTGTATGGGCTGCCTCAGGGGCTTCACAGCCTGCTATGAGCTATGGTTCAATGCAGCAGCTACAGGAGGCAGTGCCTTGTGCTGTGTCATGTAGAGAGGGAGCATCAGTGGAGACAGGCTTCCCATTTCATACATGCTGCTGTTTGCTGAGGACTTGGAAAGGTTTGAACTTACTGTTGAGGACTGGCTGGACTATCCCATATGGAGAGAAAGACACAAAGACTGTACAGTTGCCAAGGCTGTTTCTAGAAAAGTGTGCAGATCCCATTTGGGTATGGGGGTAAAGATCCCTGCAGTCACTGGACAGTAGAGAAATTTTGCTCCTAGGAATGAGTGATGCTTTGTTATTTATTTCTGGTGCATGTACATGTCTGTATTTGTGAGGGCATATGTGTAGAGGTCAAAGAACAACTTGAGAGACTCAGTTCTCTCCTTCCACCAGGGGATCCTGGTGATCAAGCTCAGGTTGTCAAGCTTGGCTTTAAGTAGTTTTACCCACTGAGCCATCTGGACAACCCTCTCTTCAGAGACATTTCCACACAGGAAATTTGCTTCACAATCAAGAGAAATGTAGGTGAAGCTATTATATTTTCAGAGCGCCCCCCCTCAGTTTCCTTTTCCCCTCTGCCTCTCTTTTGCTATCTTTAGTATCAGTGGCATGTTACAGAGCAGTGCTCACCTGGCACACACCTCTCCCTGCCTCTGCATGCCCTTGACACTAGTCACTTTTGATCCTCCAAGGCAGATGCTGTCTAGGTTGAGCTGCGGGTCTGAGACCTGTGTGGTTGTTACTGACAAGTCCAAGGTTGAACTCCGAGGGCATCTGTGGAAGTACTGCTGAAGTACTGGCGGGTAGGCAAGTCTTTGATCTGACTTTCTCTGTTCCTCTCTGACTCTTTAGGGTTATGACAACACTGAGAGCAGTGTACGGAAGGCCAGCGTGTTTTGCTTAGTGGCAATCTATTCCGTAATCGGAGAAGATCTGAAACCTCACCTCGCACAGCTCACAGGGAGCAAGGTGTGTATAGTGTTACCTGCTGTCACCCACTCCTGGCCCTGTCAACTTGTCATGAACCTCTTGCCAGCAGCTCTGGACTCCAGATGGGATTTTCTCATTGGGTGTGTTTTAACCAGGCCTTACTTCTAAAAAAGTATTTTTCCCTCTGAGGTAAAAACGGCAAATGGTGTAGGTAAGTCATTGTAAGATAGTGCTGAATTATATACTGCAGTCCATCTTAACAGGTTTTGAAAAGACAATTTCACTTTTGGCAGATTCATAGGTTAGATAACTGTATTTAGAAGCCCATTTGTTTCCTCACAGAATCACTAAAGAAACTCACCTCATGCCCCACGAGTAAAGAAGCTTGCCTAGAAGCCTGATCACCTGAGTTTGATCCCTGAAACCCATGTAAAGGTAGAAGGAGAGAACCAACTCCACAGAGTTGTCCTCTGACCCCCTCTGTGCTATTGCACACATACACCTAATAGATAAAAATGTTTTCATTATTACCTCAGTCTTGAATAAATTTGAATTGGCACCTACTGCCTTATGGGCATCAACAGGCAGATGAGCAGCCCTCACCCTGCACCTGCCATACCTGCACTCCAGACACATGGCATGGCAGTGAGAGTAGGAAGCCAGAACCATGTAGCCCTGCTCCTTATGATAGAAGGCACTTGCTAGGGAGGTATATTTTGTTTCAACTTAGGCTGCTGCTTTGACACGGGAAGAAAGCATCATAGCCAGAGTATCTCTGACCTGTTCCCCACAGCAGGGTTCCCAGCCTCAGCACCATTGACACTACGGGGGTTGGCCTGTGTGGTGTCAGAGTTTGATTCACAGCAGCACTGACCACCATCTAGACACCAGTAACTCTCCCCTTGGTTATAAGGTCATGACACTTAATGGCTCCGCATATGGCCAGATGTCCCCCTTGAGGGCAAAACCACTGGCAGCTGAGAACCACTAGCCTGGAGGAGATGCTCTTTGTAGAGACAGGTGGGAAGAGGCAACTCAAGCACATGGGGATAAATAAGTTAGCAGTGGAGCAAGGTAGGGGTACTGCTCAGCAGAGCTCTTGCTTAGCTAGCATGTGTGAAGGCCTATGTTCCAGGCCCAGCACCACATAACCAGGCATGGTGGTACTTGCCTGCAATCCAATGCTCAGGAGGTAGAGGCAGGTTGATCAGAAGTTCAAGATCATTCCAGCTACAGAGAAGATAAAGCCCAGCCTAGGCTACATGAGACTTTATCTAAAAGAAAAAATTATACACACACACACACACATATAGAGATATGTGAATATATGTGATATATGTATATATAACTATAGATACAGATATATATGTATCTAAGCTATATGTGTGTCTATAGATACAGATATATATGCTGCCTTACCTGATCCCGCTTCCAGGTCTCTCCACCTTCCTCCTGGCAGAACACAGATTAGAAACTCTCCTCACCCTCTTGGCCTCCATCAGGAGTTTAGAGGTGGCCTGGCCACAGTGAGTGGCATCAAGACAGTCACAAAGGGGGTCAAAACATCCAGAAATATTAGCCAGCCCCTTCTGATACATGGAATTCACATATGTTTTCTCCCTTTCTGTGATTGCATTCTTACTCTGTTTATAGACCCTTGATACACTTTTTTTTTTTTTTTTTTTTTTTTGCATCAGAGTCTCCCTGTAGCCCCAGCTTGGCCTGGAACTTTCTTTGTAGATCAGGCTCGCCTCCAACTCAGAAATCCACCTGCCTCTGCCTCCCCAGTGCTGAAATTAAAGGCGTCTGCCACCACACTCAGCCTGTTACATACAACTTTTCATTTCAGGAAATAAATGTGTCTGTTTTTCCTTCTGTTACCTAGGCCTTTGGGATCTTATAGAAATCATTACCACACTCACCTCATGAAGCAGTTGGCCAATGTTTTCTTGTAAAAGAGTTTTAGATTGTAGCTGGGCTTGGTGATGCTTGCCTTTATTTCCAGCATTCAGGAGACAGAAGCAGGCAGATCTCTGTGAGTTTGAGACCAGCCTGGTCTATATAGCAAGTTCCAAGCCACGCAGTGGCCTCCACCTCAGAAATAAATAGTGTTTTAGATTTTAAGTTCTTAAATTCAGGTCTGCGGTTCATTTGGAGTTACTTTTTTATTCCCAGCACCTCCCTGCCCTCCCGTCTCACCCGTCCCCATCCTGTTAGTCCCTTTCGTTCCCTCCACAGTGTCACTTCTGCTTTCATGTGATATGTACATGGTTGTCTAAGATCCAAGAACAACCTATGAGAGAAAACAAAACAACTCAGAAAGACTGAGTTTGCTTAATATGATTATCTGCAGCCACATCTGTTTTCCTGCAAATGACATAACGTCATTTTTCTTTATGGCTGACACAATTCCATTGTGGTGTCACATTTACTTCATCATGCCTCTGTTTCTGGACACCCAGATTGGTTCCTTCAGGTTAATTTTTGACTGCAGTGTTAGGGAAGGGTTGAACTTCATTCTGTTGCAGACAGCTGTCCGCATCCCTGTCACTTGTGAAGGGTATTCCTTCCTCTCTCCCATTGACCTATGTCTGCATGAGTCTTTATGCCACTGGCACTTTGGGGGGAGGAGATTCTTTTAGGTTTGTTCGTTGGGTATTTTTTTTTTGATTTATTAATTTTTTTTAGCATTTCTTTGTGTGTGTATGTAAGTGTAAGCAGGTGTACACATGACATAGCACATACATGGAGGTCAGAGGACAACTTGTAGGAGTTGGTTCTCTCCTTCCATCATGTGGATCCTAGGGATTGAACTTAAGTCATCAGGTTGGGGCAGGTGCCTTTCCTCACCGAGCTATCTCACTACCCCCATTGTTTAGGGTTTTTTGAAACAGGGTCTGGCTCTGTAGCCCAGGCTGGCTTCAGACCTATGGCAATCTTTTCATCTTAGCCTCTCAAGTGTTAGGATTATAAGCACAAGCCACCAAGCCAAGCCTTCCTTTCTTTTTTCTATTTTTGCAGCACTGGAGGATCAAACCCAGGGCCATGCTAGGCTTGGCAGGGCAGGGGCAGGGGGGTATAACCTTGGATGTGGCAGGAGTCAGTATGTTTCCATAGGCAGGGTGTCCTGGGGGAAGGATCAACTGATGTGGAGCTCAGCAGATCTTACCTCTGCATTGCCTGTTATATGGTTCTCAGCTCTTCCCACCCTGCCCCAGCTCTGAGGGGGCCCTTGGGCTGCAGCCACCCTACCATGTTGGCTCTGCCCCATTTGCCTTCCCCCAGCAGCCCCTGGAGCCCACTTTAGTATGCCACTTAACCTTTTCTAAGTTCCTACTGCTTTTCCCTAGACCTTGGCCTCCTGGCTAGTCTGCAACCCCAGCCCTTGACAGAAGAATATGCCAAGCCGTGGCACCCTGTCAGTGTCTGCTAGATAAGCCCCCAGCCAGAGAATCTGGGGACCTGATGTTTTCTGATTGTCACACGGCTGTTGGCTTCTCCCCTGCTTCTTGCTGGTTTTCTCATGCTCACTTGTGTTTTTTCTCTCTGCAGATGAAGCTGCTAAATTTATATATAAAGAGGGCCCAGACCACCAACAGCAACAGCAGCTCTTCCTCCGATGTGTCCACACACAGCTAGTGGCCACGCCAGTCTGTGCAGACCACACATGATCGGTGGTACCTTGGAGGAGCCCCATCAGCTGCCCAGTCCGTGCAAGGAGGCCGCACATAATTTATTACAATCAGTATTTTGGTCCCTTCCAGCTTTTGTGTAGAATCTTACTGGTATTGAATGTAACGGAAGCAAGGCCTGTAGCGCAGTCTCCCTAGAAACAAAAGGAATTCGAAACGAAGAGCCATACTTACATGTGTCTTGCACCGCCTGCTGACATCAGCAAACCGTGGTGGCCGGCACAACTCGTAGATGCCAGAGTGCTCTAGCCAGTGCCTGGTACCCAGTAGCATATTTTTTTTCAGTTCATACAGACTTGGGGTGGGCTGGGGTATCGCTCTATATTCTTCATGCTTACATTCTTAGAGTGTGGTGAGGTGGGACAAGGACCCTCCTTTATTCAGTCGACACTGACAAAGGCTGTGCGCCTTTAGGTTGTGTCTTGTGAGACCTTGTGAGAGTGGGACTCAAGTCTGGGCAAGAAAAGGAGAAAAGCCTAGAGCTAGCTTTGTAATAAACACGTGCGATTTGCTTCTCTCATGCAGACAGGAGCCAACTATCCTGGCTTTGGGGATACAATCAGAAATGCCACCAAAGTTTACATGATTACATTACATAACTAAAGGGTAGCTGCAGAGCCCCCTTCAGTCAATGCATTGGAAACAGACCAATGCGGCCCTTTAATTTCAACTTCTTGAAGGTCTCACTGCTTTGAAGAAAGTGATTATAGATTTAGAGTCTAGCTAAATAAATTTTGAATAAAATTCTTAAAAGACAATTCTTAATGCAATCATGCAGACTTCCCTAGGCTAGCCTTGAACTTGAGATGCTCCTGCCTCAGCCTCCCAAGTGTTGGGATTATAGGCGTTAGCCTTTATACCCAGCAAAAGGCTTGTGGATGTTCATTTTAGCAAGGCATAGGGTCTTCAGTTCAGAGCCGACTGACACTGCTAGAACTGAAGGGGCAGGCTGGGGTACCTGATGTATGTATATACCTCATCTCTTACCCTTCAGATGAGGTGGGGGGCAGGGGGGAGATTAGGCAAAACAGATACTGTATTTGGAAATAGATGTTGAAAATGAAGGTCCGGCTGTGTCTTACATAAGCTGCCCTGCTATTGCTGTTCAGGGAACTTCAGGGGTGCATTTTCAGTGCTTTATTCCTGTTGACTGATTCTTGCTCAAAACATCAGGACTTGACCTTGGTTGTTCATAGCTAATTTATGAGATTTCTTTCTTGCCCTCTACAAGGGTCCCTAAGTCTTTTAGTCACTCCTCTGCTGTAGAACTGTGAGACCTGGCCAGGTAAATTAGGAATTCTCTGATGTCTAATGCAATTAGAAAGACCTTTCTCTGGCTTTCAGATGGTCACCATGGTCCCCACTGTAGCTGAATGGTCCCAGAATATTGCCTGGTTTCCTCACAGCACTCACAAAGGGCTAGCCTTGAATGTCACATGCCCTCCTTCAACCTCCTGAGTAGAGAGAGATACAATCATTTTACAGGTCTCGTGGGCTCAATCTGAAAACTGCTGCCCACCTCACCGAGGAGACTCGCATGCTGCGGCCAACTCGTGGAGGGCAGCTGTGCCCACCGCTGCCCTCTGAACCCTGACAGCTGCAGCTGCCTCGCCTTGCTACCACCTCCCTACTGAACTCTGTTCACAACACCCAGACCCTGAAAGACTCTGTTCACAACCCCCAGAATTGTGTTTGCCTCCCCATCTACCCAACTATCCAGGGCCTCAAAACCCCCATACCTTGTATCCAGGGGGTTGCTCATCTGACTTCCTGCTTCCTGGCACGCTGCTGCCTCCCTCCCCGGCTGTGGTCCAACAAGTGCAGCCGGCCCTCAAGGCACGTGGCTCTCTCCAAGTGCACTCTGTGCTTTGCGGATCTGGTGCCCGCAGATGGCCTGGGCCTGCCTTATCTATGGCTCACCACTAGCTTACCAATACCCCGTGCAGGTAACAACAGGTTTGTCTCAGAAGTCTTCTCTTTCTTTCCCGCCACCCTATGGAAACTCATATCATACTTTAAAGGACTGCAGGTAAGAACTGTTAGAACCCCAACCAGGACTCTGTTCAATGTTTGGAGACGAAACAACATGCTCTGAAAATCAGCCACCAAAATAGTTTTGATGTCACTGTGTTCACACGCATGGTCCCTGCACCCCCAGGTTGGGTGGTTTTTAGTTTGTTTCGGGTTTTTTTGGGCTTTTTCATGTTACATCCATATCTGTATTTATATCTTATTTGTTTCACTTCCAAGTGTATCATGGCAAATGTACAGATTTTTTTTTTGTTAATAATGTGCTAGGATTTGCTAAAAAAGAAAATTAAAAAAAAAAAAAAAAAAAAAAAACCTTTGAGTTTGCCCTAGAATAAATGAGACTTAATTCAGTTTTGTGTATTGGTACCATGTGAATCCTTGAATGCACTACAGATTGCTTGTCAGATTACCATCATGACCCTGCTGTGTTTACAAAGAATATGGGGCCACAACTCTTTGTGACATAAACAGGTCAAACTAGCTACCCACAAGGTGGCTCAGCCAATAATGGCACTTGCTGTGCCAGCCTGACAACCCAAGTTCGATCCCCAGAACCCACATAAAGGTGGAAGAAGAGAACTGACTCCACAAAATTGTCTTCTGACCTCCACACACATACTGTGATATGAAACACCTCCCCATCATGCATACACACAATAATAATAAAAAGGAAAAGACCAGGCTTGGTGGTACACATGTTTAATCTCAGCCCCCAGGAGGCAGCGACAAGTCGATATCTGAGTTTGAGGCCAGCCTGGTCTACATAGGTCAGTTCCCAGCCAGCCAGGGCTGCATAATGAGATGCTGACTCAAAAAAAAAAAATAATTTTTTTAAGGAGTCAAACCAGGGAAATCCTCTCTTTTGTGGCCCCTAGGAACCCCTGCTGCATGTCAAGGTTGGGGCAGGACACAGATACTGGAGCCCCAGCCAGCCTCCCAGGGGTGGGGTGGGGGTGCATGAACAAATGTCCCATTGCTTGTCCAGGCCCCATTTCTTCAGCCAAGCAGCAAGAACTCTAGTTTCTAGAAAAGTTAGAAATAGGAAGAAAACCTTGACTCCAGAGACCGGAGCAGAGCTGACAAGGGCAGTGGTACCCCATGCTCCTGCCTGTTTTCTACAGCTCTTGAATCCAGGATCTGGCAAGGGCTGCTGGGCACCAGCAGGAATATAGTCTTAGGAAGAAAGTGGGCAGGACTTCGGGAGAGCTGTGTCTTCTTTGAAACCTTCGAAAAATATTTCTAAATTTTTTTTAGATTTTTTCATGTGTATGAGTGTATTGCCTGCACGTATATATGTGTATCTGTGTCATGAAATACCCACAGAGGCCAGAAGAAGGTGTGTTGGATTCTCCTGGACCTGGAGTTATGGATGCTTGTTAGCCACCATGTAGAGATGGGAATCAAACTTGGGTCCTCTGCAAGAGCAGCCAGTGCTCTTAACTGCTGAACCATTTCTCCAGCCCTCTAAAATCATGATTTAAAAAGGTAACATTTGCCATCGTGGCTCCTTTAAAAAACAAAACTGTGTGTGTGCATTCCATGGTATGCATATGCAAGTCAGAGGACAGTTGCTGGAGTTGGTTCTCTCCTTCCAACATGTGGTTCTCAGGGATTAAAACTCAGGTTTCAGACCTAGCAAGCACCTTTACTGGCAGAGCCATTTTGTTGGCCTCCATCCTGGCCCTTTACATGTACATTTCAGAGGTATTACATTCCCTCACTTGGTTAGCTGTCTCTCCTGTGATGCTGTGGAGCCCATCTCCAGAACTCATCTAGTAAAACAAACCACCAGCTAGCACTTACTCCAGCACCCACCATGCTCTGACATATTTGCATGTGTAGTGTGTGTGCAGGTGCACAAATGTGCATGAGGAGGCCAGAGGACAACCTCAGTACTGTTCTCAGGTGCTACCAACCTTGTTTTTTGAGAAAGGGTCTCTTGCCATCCTGGAACTCACCAAGTAGGCTTGCTGGCTGACCAGCAAGCCCCAGAGATCTGCCTGTCCCTACTTCCCAGTGCTGGGGTTACAAGTATGCACCACTGCATGACTTTTTTTTACCTGAGTTCTAAGGATCAGACTCCGGTCTTTGTGCTTGCAAGACAAGCATTTTACCAACTCAACTCTCACCTCAACCCTGTTGAATGTTAACTGTTCTAGATTTGGATAAGTCTTGCAAGTGGAATCAGACAAAATTTGACTGTATTGTGACTGACCTAATTTTTGTGATACACCATGAAGCCCCCACTTCAGACCCCTTCGAGGTTTCATAGAGTGCTAGCATCACATATACCTAGATTTGAACCCCAGCTCTACTTGCCCCCTCGGACAGAATCACTTCACTTTTGCCTTGCTCTTTTTTAAAAATTTATTTTTATTTTATGTGTATGAGTGTTATTCCTGCACGTGTGCAAGTGTACCTGTGTCATGCAGTGCCTGCAGAGGCCAGAAGAGGGTCTTGGATCCCCTAGAACTGAAGTTACAGACAGTTGATAGGCGCTATGTGGCTGCTGGGATTTGAACCTGGGTCTTCTGCAAGAATGGCCAGTGCTCTTAACCACTGAGCCATCTCTCCAGTCCCCTGTCTTGCTCTTTACATTTATAGAGTCAAGAACTACCTGGTGGGACTAGGGAGATGGCTCAGTGGGAAAAGCACTTGCCATGCAGGTGTGAGGACCTGAGTTCTAATCCCAAGAATGTAAAGCCAGGCATGTAATCCCAGTGACCCTACCAGAAGATGGGGGACAGGGACAGGAGAATCCCTGGAAGTTCAGGACTAGCCTGGCACACACACAGAAAATAAGAAAAGAAAAAAAAAAAAAAAAGAGAGACCTTGTCTCAAGGTAGGAGGAAGGGACTAACACCCCAGGTTTTCCTCTGACCACACACGTGGGGCACACACCTTTGCATTCATACATGAATGCATACACAAAGCTTAAAAAGAAAAACCGTTGAGCCAGCATAATGACACACAAGTGAAATCAATTCCAATTCGTGAAAAGCTGAGGCAGGAGAGTCAGAGTTCAAGCCTGGACTATGTAACAAGTCCCCATCTCAAAGAAAAAGACATAAGAGGGAGGTGCTATAGGAACTTAAGATGTTAAGTGAAGTGTCCTGCCAGCCACCTGCCCCTGCTCCTCCCTGAACTGGTGATATCACCCACACCCCTCCCCACACACTCGGGTTCCATTATTCATTAGCAAGTGTGGAAAACCCCTGTGGGGAGGACAAATTGGGCAAGGCCAGCAGTTCAGTGTTCTATATTTGGTTCTTGGTACCACTGTTGTTCTTTACCAGAGGGCAGCCAGGAAGTGCTTGCTGCTTGTAAGAGGGTTATAGGCCAGGAAGGGGGTAGGGGACAGAGGCCCTGTTCTTGGCCTGGGGAATTGAACATGTAACTTCCTGTTTAGCTTTACAGGAAGTCAAAGGAGGGTCCCAAGGTAAGAACCTCTTGAAGATCCCTTCTTTGTGACTGTTCTCACATCTGCTCACATCTGCAGTGGAAGTTGTGGAAGCATAGAGACAGCATTCATATCCACTGAGGTATTTGATGCATTTAAAAAAAAAATTATTTGGGCTGGGTTGGAGAGCACTAGCTGCTCTTATAGAGGCCTGTACTCGGTTCCCAGCACCCACATGGCGACTACCATCTGTAACTCCAATTCCAGGGACTCTGCCCTTTTCTGGCTCTGCAGGCATTGCATGACATAGGTGCACTTACAAGCAGGCAAAATATACATACGTAAAAAAAAAAGTTTTTAAAATAAAGTACAAGATTTATTTAGGGCTGGTGAGATGGTGCAGCAAGTAAAGGCACTTGGTGGGAAGCCTGAGTTAGATCCCTGGGACCCACATGGTAGAAGGAAAGGACTGATTTTCACCAGTTGCCCTCTGACCTCCACACAAGCACTGGGCATGCGTACATCCATTAAACTCACACATATTTTTTAAGTAGTAAAACTTAAAGGTTTATTTAGTTGAGAGGTATGGTGTGCCGTGGTATGTGTGTTGAGATCAAAGGACAACTTTCCAGGAGTCCATTCTTTCCTTCCACCTTATTTCTGAGGCAGGGTCTCTGACACTGTACTGCATAAGCAAGCTTCGAGCCAGTCCTCATGTGTTCAGCTCTGATCTTGCTAAAAGAATGCTGGAATTTCAGATGCAAATCACTGCATCTGGCTTTTTACAAGAGTTCCAGGGATCGCAGTAAGTTATCAGGTTTATGAGGCAAGGGCTTTTTTTATTGCCAAGCCATCTCACTGGCCCATTTGATAATTTTAAAGAATTCTCATCTGTGGCTTTTTATGGACTTACAGATTAATGGAACTGTTGTCCTGTTCCATTTCCAGATGTAGAAACTGAGGCACAGGAAAAACCCAAGCCTGAAAGAGACAGATGGAGCTGCGACCGCAGGCTCCCCTTTGCCAGCCCAGCAGCTCCCTTCAACACCCATCCCCACACTGGGACCCACACATTCCCCTGCAGTACTGGCATGTTCATGTCCATGCACTCACCAAAACCTGGGGAGCCCCAGCCCCATAGCTGCCCATTCAGGAACACCGAGGTGGGCCTGAGAATGTATTTCTAACAAGCACCAGGGTGATGGTGAGGCTGCTGGCCTGCTTCCCAGTGAACCATTACAGAGTGCTTGCTTCCAAGCATTAGACAATCCCCTAGACTAAGGCAGAAAATAGCAGAAGGCCTCCGGAAGCTCAGCCTGAGAAACACCTTGCCTGATGTTACAGGTAACTATGGTGACAGCTAACTCAGCACCACAACTAGGACTGTTGAAAATGAAGTGGGCTGGGCTGGGGAGACAGCTCAGCTGGTAGGGACTTGCCAAGTTAAATCCTAAACACCATGTTAAAAATCAGGTGTAGTGGCACACACTTGTAATTCCGTGCTGAGGAAGCAGAAACAGGAGGATCCTTGGGGCTCACTGGGACTTTAGGTTAGGCAACTGATACAACAGCTCCAGGCCAGTGAGAGACCTGCCTCATAAAACAAGGTAGACAGCAGTCCTGAGGAACAGAATCCAAGGTGGTCCTCTGGCCTCTGCACACACACACACACACACACACACACTTTAAAAAGGGTGTATGAATACACTGCATGAATGTATGTAAGGGCACCTGTGTCGTGCAATGCCTACAGAGGTCAGAAGAGGGTGTCAGATTCCCCTCCAAATGTGTCACAGGCAAAGCATCCCTGGTGTCCTGGGCACAGAGCTCTCTGTTTGGGAATAGACTTCCCCCCACAGGCTC